CATTTTTGCTTATTATATAAAGCAATGTATTTCCCTTAATCTATGTACTAACCTTAAATATTCAGCTCTAAGCCACTTTATACTATAAAGAAAAATAATAGTTAAAAAAGATATTTTGCTAAGTTAAATAGATCTCTCCTCAAGAAAATCCACTGGCAGTCATTAAATTAACATTTACATGTATTTTACAGTTTCAGAGCTGTATATTTCTTTCTTGCGAAATATATGATAACTCAAGTTCAAGAGAACTTGAAGGTTACAAATAGATATATTTCCATTTTCTTATGTTATCAAATTTTTGTGCAATGAGTTAGTGATAGTCATAGATAAGATAGTGGGAAAGAAATATTAGGATAAAGAATAAATATTCTGAATATAATATTTGCATGTTGTGTTCGCTATAACTATGTGAATCAATGAAGAAATGTCTTATATATACAAAAAGGTGTATATACAAGATTTTGTGCTAAAGGTGGTTTCTTAGCTGGAGATATACAAATGTAGCTTTTGGCATTTATATCATATTTTAAATCACAGTTCTGGATGAAATTCAATCTGGTAAAGAAATAGAATGGAAAGGAAAGTGGCCTTTAGACATCAGCATTGAGATAATCTTGCCTTGAAGGCTAAATTTATGAAGATGACCTAGGAAAGGATTCTTAAAGGGATGATCCAAGATGGTAGAAAGAAAAACTTAAGGGTGTGGCCCCATGGATGGTAAGAGAAGTGAGTCTTTCAAAAAGGAGTGAGTAGTCAAGAGTTATAAATACAATTTTACCAAAATCTGTAGGTAAAACTGATACCGGTGAAAGTCATATAAGAGTAGATTGAGGATGAGTTTGAAGTGAAGAAATGGAGCAGACACTGTAGGGGGAAAAAAAGCAACAAACTTTCACAAGCTCACCTGTATATAAGGTGAGCATTTTATAGATAGATTTTATATAAAGTTTGACACACACAAAAAATTTTTTTTAAGTTTTAAGTTGTAAAACATAAGCACTTTTTGAAATCATAGAAAAATTTAATTAATAAAGAGCTTAAATTTACAGCAAGGAAAAAGGAGAGTTGGTAGTTAAAATTTAGAGAGATAAGAAGTAATGCAATCATGATTATGGGCACAGAAGGAGGCACTGGCCTTCAAAAAAGAGGGAATTCTGGTAACTAGAAGACTAAAAGAAGGCATTAATGTGAAAGGGAGACATTATACCTGATTTCACAGAAATATAAAGGATCATAAGAGAGCAGTACTAACAGCTATAAAACAACAAATGGGAAAATCCAGAAAAAGCAGATAAATTCCCAGATATATACAACTTATCAAAATTGAATCATAAAGAAATAGAAAACCTCAACAGATCAATAATAATAACAAGATTGAAGCAGTAATAAAAAGTACCTCATCAAAGAAAAACCTAGGACCTGATGGCATCAAGGCTGAATTCTACCAAACATTAATATATATATATATATATATATATATATATAATCAACTATTCCCCCCAAAAAAAAATCAAAGAAGAAGGAATACTCTCAACATTCTATGAGGCCTTCATTACCCTTATACCCAAACCAGTCAAAGACACAACAAAAAAAGAAAATGACAGGACAGTATCCCTGATGAACATAGATGTTAAAATTTAGAACAAAATACTAGCAAATTAAATTCAACAACACATTAACAAGATCATTCACCATGATTGAGATTCATCCCAGAAATGGAATGATTCAACATACATAAAACTATAAATGAGATACATCATATTAACAGAATCAAATACAAAAATCATATGATCTTTTCAATAGATGCTGAAAAAGCATCCAGTGAAATTCAACATCCCTTTGTGATAAAAAAAAAACAAACACCTCAACAAACTGGACACAGAAGAAACATACTTCAACATAATTAAAGGTCATATATTACAAACCCACAGCTAACATATTAAAAAACAAAAAGTTGAAAGATTTTTATCTAAGATCTGGAAGAAGATAAGGATGCCCACTTTCATTACCTTTATTCAACAGAATACCAGAAGTGCTAGCCAGAGCAATTAGGCAAGAGAAAAACATAAAGGGCATCCAAATGGGAAAGGAGAAAGTCAAATTGCCTATGTTTGTAGATGACATGATCTCATATACATATATTATATAAAACCCTGAAGACCCTACCAAAAAACTGTTAAAACTAATAAATGAATTCAGCAAAGTTACAGTTTATAAAACCAACATAAAAATTCGTAGTGTTTCTATATGCCAATAGTGAACGATATGAAAAAGATTTCAAAAAAGCAATTCCATATACAATAGCTAGAAAAAAAAATACCTGGAATTATTTAACCAAGGAGGTGAACAGTCTTTACAATGAAAACAATAATGAAAGAAATTTAAAAGGATATGAATAAATGAAAAGATACCCTTTGTTCATGGATTGGAATAATTAATGTTGTTAAAATATCCATATTACCCAAAGTGATCTATAGATTTAATGTAATCCCTATCAAAATACCAATGACATTCTTTACAGAAATAGAAAAAATTATAATTAGTATGGAAAAGCCAAAAAAAAAAATCCAAATTGTTAAAGCAATCTTGAGCAAAATGAACAAAGCTGAAGACATTTCCTGACTTTAAAATATACTACAAAATCATAGTAACCCAAACAGCATCGTACTGGCATAAAACAGACATATATACCAATGGAATAAAAATAGAGAACCCAGAAATAAAGTCATGCATTCACAGCCAACTAATTTTTGGTAAAGTCACCAAGAACATATATTGAAAGAAAACCAGTGTCTTTAATAAATGATGATGAGGAAACTGGATATCCACATGCAGAAGAATAAAAGTAGACCCCTGTCTCTCACCATATACAAAAATCAAAGCTAAATAGATTAAAGAATTGAATGTATGACCTGAAACTATGAAACTACTAGAAGAAAACATGAGTGAAAAACTTTAAATTGGACTGGGTAAGGCTTTTTTAATAAGACCTCAAAAACATAGACAGTAAAATTAAGAATGGACAAATGGGATTACATTAAACTAAAAATCTCCTGCTCAGCAAAGGAAAGAATTGATAAAGTAAAAAGAAAACCTGCAGAATGGAAGAAAGAATTTGCAAATTATTCATCTGAAAAAAGGTTAATATCCAGATTATTCAAAGTACATAAAGAACTCAAATCAATAGCACAGCAACAGCAACAAAAAATTAGGCAAAATATCTGAATAAAAATTTCTCAAAAGAAGACATACACATGGCCAGAAGATATTTGAAAAATTGTTCAATGAAATGTAAATAAAAACCACAATGAGATATCAGTTTGCCCTATTTAGAATGCTATTATACATTTTTGGTGGGAAGGTAAATTGGTATGGCCATTATGGAAAACAGTATGGAGGTTCCTCAAAACTTAAAAATAGAAATGCCATGTGATCCAGCGAGCCTAATACTCTGTATATATTCAAAGAAAATGAAATTAATATGTGAAAGGGACATCTGCACAGCCATGTTTTAGTTCTATTCACAATAGCCAAGATACGGAATCAATCTAAATGCCCATGTATATATGTATAAAGAAAATATGGTGTGTAGATACACACACACACATATATATATTAGATATATATGTATATACATATACACACAATGGAATGCTATACACTCATAAAACATAATGAAATCCTGTCATTTGTGGCAACGTGAATGAACCTGGAGGGCATTATGTTAAGTGAAATAAGCCAGGCACAGAAAGATAAACATCACATGATTTTATTTACATATGAAATCTAAAAGAGTTGATCTCAGAGGAGTAAAATAGTAATTTCTAGAGGCTGGGAAGGGTAGACAAAAGAAGGGGAAAAGGATAGATTGATAAATGGTTACAGCTTTACAGTTAGTCAGGCAGAATAAATTTTGGTATTTTATTACCCAGCAGGTGGGCTAAAGCAAATAACAATGTAGTATATATTTCAAGACAGCTAAAATATTTTGAATGGTGTCACCACAAAGAAATGATAAATGCTTAAAGTGATGGATATGGTAATTACCCCATTTGATCATTATGCCCTGTATACATGCATTGAAACATCACCCTGTACTTCCTAAATATGTGCAGTTAATCTGTGTTAATTATAAGTTAATTTTTTTTAAGTAAGTTTATTTTTGAGAATTGGGAAGTTTCTTTAACTTAATTATCTGAGCTTTCATTAACTGCCTTTACTTTAGCATCTTGCATCCAGTAAATGCTTTTAGACAAAAGACATTTGGGGAATTACTGCTCCCACATTTCATGCATAAATATATGTAGACTATGATTCAAGATGCTTAACTTTTCCTATCAGAATTTTTTGCTAAAATGAAACTAATTAGACATTTCTAAGAATTTGAGTCTTGACAATAAAGACAGAAAAAAAGTTTTATTATTATAAGGGCAATTCATTGATATAGATTATTTTATGCTACTTAGATTCTAAGTATTATAGTTGACCTGTCTTGTCCCTACTTTCTATCAATTGGGGTAGTAAAGGCTAAGCAAGTAAAATTTTTAGAAAATTGCTACTTTATATCATTCAAAGTACTGAAGAATATAATTAGAAATGCAATTTTATATGGGTATTTTATTATTATAATGTGTTTATCCTATTAATTCAAATATTGATATGGAATACTTACTAGAGATTCTTACTCCAACATGGTAGCATGAGTAATCACATATATTGTGTGTGTATGTGTTTTTTTGTGTGTGTGTGTATGTTGATGCTTATGGGAAAATCCAAACTTTAAGAATCAATAAAGCACACTGAACGGCCAGATACCATTTAGCATAAGTAGATGAAGAAATGTAATGTCTTTGTAGGAAAGAAATGAGTCATTAAGTCTGAGTCTCTCACCCTTTCCTCAGATATGAGTCAGTTCTTAGACTTAAGGTTCTAACTCTACAGCAGTTTAATTAGCTTGAGAATGTACTCTCGCATACTAATATAAAACTACAAATGTTTACCATAATTTGTCTTCTATTTTCCTTTGACATGATCTGAAGATGACTTTCAAAGAGATATTTCTGTACAAAGGAAAAAGAAAGAGTCCAAACTTAAAGGGATAGATACTGACTTTTAGATGTTTGGATACGGTTCTGAGCTAACTCTTATTCCTGATGATGCCAGATGCCTTTGGGTTATCCCAGTGCGGCACATGATGAATGGACTTTGACCAGGGAACATTTCATATTCATCTCAGTGGAACTTTGAAACCATCAAATAGTCTTTTTTTTTTTTTTAATTCCTGTGTTTGTATTTGAAATAGATAACTTCAATTCCTAAATAATCCTTGTTATAAATGTAGCTCAGAGCAAGAAGCAGCTAGTCACAAAATCCAGATTATTATACATAAAGCTCTGCAATGTGGTCTACTTCTGGTTCACCAGATGCAATAGGGCATACATTTTTATGACAAATTCTAATAGGAAAATCACAGACATTTATAGCAGACATCACTGACAGCAATCACCAATTCTCTGAATAACAAAGACAAGATTCAGGTTGAAAATGAATGCTTGTTTTACTCTGTCCAATATGAACTGTGTTGTCTGATTCATCTGTCCACAATGTTTGATGTGTCCAACAAAATTCCATTATTTAGTGAAAATGATATATCCAGGGAAGTCAAAAAGAAGTACAAATAGAAGAATCTTACCTAGGTAACTGTCTCAGCGTTCTGACCTGTTTTTTTAACACACCATATTGTTGCTGTGTAATGAGTCCACTCACAGGGATTCTGAAGAAAAGTGAAGATGGAGCATTCTCTTAAGAGATGTAATTTCAAAATGAACCTCCTAATCAGCTATTAGAAAAGGAGATGATCTGATACACACAGAAAAATGTTAATTGGGGATGCTATATTTTGGAGCAGTAAGTTAGAGTAAATTAACCAGTACATTTAGATATGTTGTCTTCCATTATGAGCTAAGAGTGACCATTTTATTTTGACAATGCATAGATCAAAAATATGCTAATTCATACTTCTCTGCAATTTCTTCTTGATTATTTTTTTTCTTTTAGCAGGCTATTATTTTCTCAAGAGGATTTACAAGTAGCATTCACTGGTCATGGCAAACCTTCAATTAACTGGCTTTCATGCAGTGTGTATTATTATCTCATTATCAAGTTGTCTTTTTATTCTTTTTTTTCACTCTTTCAAGTTATTTATTAATATTTAATGCAATTGGCCCATACCAAATTTTCTTAATTATTTTAAATGACATTTTTGTTGGCACTAACACATTTTTTTGAATTTATTCTAGAAAAAAAAATCAAGAATCCAATTTAAATTTGTTATTCAAAAGCATAGATTCAAAGGAACAAGTTTTGATGTAAGAAACTGGCAAAACAAGTTCTAGTTTTGTGTTTCTCAAATCTTCTTCTTAGAGTTTTGGTTTTCTTATCTGTAACATTTAAGAGCTACCTGGAAAGTTTTTTTTTGTTTGTTTGTTTTTTGAGACAGAGTCTCACTTTGTTGCCCAGGCTAGAGTGAGTGCCGTGGCATCAGCCTAGCTCACAGCAACCTCAAACTCCTGGGCTCAAGCCATCCTCCTGCCTCAGCCTCCTGAGTAGCTGGGACTACAGGCATGAGCCACCATGCCCGACTAATTTTTTTCTCTCTATATATTAGTTGGCCAATTAATTTCTTTCTATTTATAGTAGAGACAGGGTCTCGCTCTTGCTCAGGCTGGTTTAGAACTCCTGACCTCAAGCAATCCGCCCGCCTCGGCCACCCAGAATGCTAGGATTACAGGCGTGAGCCACCACGCCTGGCATACCTGGAAAGTTTTTAATGTCTAATATTGTGTATTTTTCTTTGGACATGCTGTTATATGTTTAAAATAATAAATGCCTTAGAAAATGAAATTTTAGCTAGTAATTGGCATTATATCTTTGTGAGTTCCTGAAAAAAATTTACTCCTAGATATCAGTTTCTTAATCTTAAAAACAGAGTCAATGATTCTAAACCTTTTCTCTTTCAGAGTATATAAGGAGGGTTTGGGGTACAAGTTTAATAAGTATAACTTATTTTATATATCCAGATACCATAATTGATTTCCTGACTGATTTGCAATAGCCTCATATTCATATTCTAAAATTTTCAATGGTGTATGATGTATGGCCACAACTTGCAGTAAGTTGAATGTGTGTCTGAATTAATGAGTGCCAGTGCTACATCAGTGTCCTGTGAAAAAGCCATCCAACAAAACATATCTATAGAAGATGGAAAATATTTTAGGAATATACTTTTGAAGGCATGAGGGCTTCTAAATACCTCAAAAAAAGAATACTCTCTGGTTTCTTTGAAATTCTCTAAAGTGGCTAAAACTACACTCATTCTAAAATTCTGGGTTTTCCGTAAACGTTTCTAAACCCAGAATTCTAGTTACCTTATCAGTGATCAAGAATACTTGTCTTATTTATAAAGTTGTTCCTCCTCAGTAAAGAGCTCTAATTATTCATGTTATGAGCTTTAGGGCACATGGCTTAAGTACCCAGGGCTCCAGAGGATCCTTTTACACCGCAATGCAGGGGAGCAAGTTAGTTACTGTCCTAGAGATAAAGTTGACAAGTATCTCTGGAACTACTCGCCTCTGATATTAAAAATCAAATATTTCCAAAGCTGTGAATACATAACTACTTCACAATAAATGTGTGAGAAAAAAAGGTAGAACGAATCTGAAAGCCATAGAAATTAGGTTTTTTTCCCTTCTAATAACAAATACGTAAAATTGAAGGAACATCTTGATTTGGGACTACATAGGTACTTTAGATAACTGCTTTAAAAATGTTTGCTTTTCCATGAAAAAAAATCTTACTAGGCATGATGTAGAACTTATAATTAACACTAAGAACAGCCCAAAACATGTGGGTACCAAGGTAAGCAAACATAGCTCCTAATTGTCCTTTCTAACTCCTGTCATCTCCAATTATTTGGCCACAACTGAAAATAACAAGCTTTCCTATTTTTTGTTTTGCTCTGTCTTCTATGGTAGTAATAAGTTATTCTTTATGTCTTTTATCTCCCATATTCAAAGAAAACTAAATGGAATTATTGCTTATTGATGTAATAGTATCTAAATAAAATTTGGCACTAAAGATGACATGAGCAAATATATGTAATAGTGCTAGTGGTAAGAGATTATTACCACTAGTGTTATACACCACTACCACTAGGTTATACATTATAACCACAAATTATAATGTGATCAAAATTAGTAATCCCATTTTAAACGTCTTTATGTAAATAGATAATTTTAAAGAATGGTCATATTTTATTTTTAATTATTATAGATCATAATAGTTGTACACATTTTGGCTGTATATGTGATATTTTGATATAAACATACAATGTGTAATTATCAATCAGATTAATAGGGATATCCATTACTTCAAGCATTTATAATTTCTTTGTGTTAGGAACATTCCAATTCCACTCTTTCAGAAATTTTGAAATATACACTAAATTTTTGTTAACTATGATCACCATATTGTGCTACCAAACTCTAGATATTATTTCTCCTAACAAACTGTATTTTTGTACTCATTAACTATCCCCTTTTTTATCTGGTCATTCCCACTACCCTTTCCAGACTCTGGTAACCATCATTCTACTCTCTATATCCATCAGTTCGTAATTATTTTTTAGCTCTCATATATTCATGAGAACACATGGTATTTGTCTTTCCATGCCTGGCTTATTTCCCTTAAGGGTGTCCAGGTCTATCCATGCTGTTGCAAGTGACAAGATTTAATTCTTTTATTTTTGTGGCAGAATAATATTCCATTGTGTAGAAGTACCACATTTTCTTTATTCATTCATCTGTTCAGGGACATTTAGGATGATTCCATAGCTTGGATATTGTGAATAGTGCTACAATAAACATGTGAAGGCAGATATCTCTTCAATATGCTGATTTCTTTCTTTTGAATACATACCTAGCAGTGGGATTGCTGGGTCATATGGTAATTCTATTTTTAGATTTTTTAGGAGCCTCCATACTATTCTCCATAGTGGCTATACTAATTTACATTTTCACCAAACGTGTATAGGTGTTCCCCTTTCTCCACATCCTCATCAGTATTTGTTATTGCCTATCTTTTGGATAAAAGCCATATTAACGAATGTGAGATGATATCTCATTGTAGTTTTAATTTGCATTTCTCTAACAATTAGTGATGTTGAGCATTTTTAAACATATCTGTTGGCCATTTGTATGTATTCTTTCAAGAGCTGTGTATTCAGATCTTTTGTCTATTTTTAATTGGATTATTTGTTTTGTCTTACTGAGTTGTTTGAGCTTCTAATATAGACTGATTATTAATTCCTTGTTACATAGACAGTTTGCAAATATTTTCACCCATTCCGTGGGTTGGTTCTTCACTTTGTTGATTGTTTCCTTTAATGTGTAGAAGGTTTTTAGCTTGATGTGATCCCACTTTTCCACTTTTTTGCTTTGCTTGCTTGTCCTTTTGCATTCTTACACACAAAAAATCTTTGCCAAGATAAATGTCTTGAAAATGTTATGCTTTATGTTAGTTTAAACAGAAGTTTTGAAAAGTTAACACTCATTGATTTACAAGTTAATAATGAAAGAAAAAGGAGAAATATATTTTAGGGCTTCCAGTTCCCTGATGCATTTAATGATAGCCCACTGGTAAATTTGTTATTTCAAGCAAGAAAGAATATATATGAAGTGATTATAAAAAGATCCATAATGTAGACAAAGGTACTTAGTTCTTTGAATTCATCAATCAACATATTTTTGTAAAATAAATATCATTTTTTTATTAAAAGTTGAATTGAGACTACCTGAATATGTTCAGTTCACCTCATAATTTAGTAAAAATAGATATTAACCAATAAAGTCTACTGGTATATGAAAGTGAAAGAAAATCTATAAATAATTCAAAATTATAATAAGTGATTTAAATCAATGATCCTTTTTTTCCTCTGGGACAAAGATTCAAACAGGAACTAATATTCATAATAGGATATGTTAAGATATTATGGTTATATTATATATTTCATAGTAGAATAAGTTAAAATATATAAAAGTACGCTTACTTAACCTAAGACTGGCAGATCTACATTGGCCTTCCTTTTAGCCTTTTGTACTCCTGACCCACACACTAAACATATGATTTTCCTCAAACAGAGGAGGAAAAAATGAAGTTAATACTACTGAACCTCCCAAATTGTAAATATATCCTAGGTGAAAGTAGCAGTTCTTCTTTTTGCTACTCTCCTATTTATTACCTCCACTTGTGATCTCTTTATCTAATCCACTCTTTTTTTTCTTAATACTATCATTTCACTTTTTTATATTTTTATCTTTTCCCTTCTTATATCATACTTGTGAATACATACAAAAAACAGACCTCCGTGCTGTGCCTCTCTCCAGTCATAACCTTATTTCTTTTTTTCCTTTATATATCCAAGTTCTTTAACAAAAAAGACTCCACTCATTACCCATTCTGTTTTATACATTCGCTAACACACAGCAAGCTGCTTTCCATTCAGAGAGATCCATTGGTAAACGACACTAGTGATACCTTAATTCCTTTCACCAGATTCCTCTTTTTAGTGCTCTTATTGCTTGGCTGCTTTGTAGAATCAGGCACTTTAAACATTATATATATATTTTTTTTTCCAAGAAATAGTCTCCTCCCTGGTTACTTATTTCTTAATTTTTTTTCCTAACTCAAGTTTTGCTCTTTTAAATTTTCTTTATA